AGCCCAAACATATTCTTTTGGAAATCTGATTCCAACTCCAAACGAAAAGCCGTTTTAAAATTATTTTTTGTAGGAAGGGCATTAGAAGTTGAGCAATAAATTATAATGATTTTTTTTAAATATTGGCACAATGATAAAAGAGAAAATAATGTGAATATTTAAAAAATTTAAGAATCTGGTTCTAAAACGCTAGGCATGAAAATATGCGAGGAAATACGATATATGAATTTACTTCGTGTTCTCTTATTTTATATCGGAGGGAGCTGATTTTAAATCACCGGAAAAATATTGGCAAATTTTTTATGCAAAATGTTCCCGTAATTTAAAACGTTGAATAAATAAATAGAATAAATAATAATAATAAAAAAAATATATAGAATTTGTTCTTCGTAAAAATGAGTTAAATTTTTAAATTCTAAAATTTAAAATAATATGTTATGTGTTAAACTATAGTTGCGCATCGTGCGTGTTGAAAAACAGAACAAATATTGCGAATAATGGCTATTTCGTTAACGTTGGCTCGTGTTTTAAAGTACCAGCTCTTTATAAACTATTGACATGATTAGTTTGCGTATTTTCAAATAATAAATTTAAATTGATTTTAACTTTAAATGTATTATTGTCAAATATTAAAAATTACTAAAAACTTGGATTACAGTAATGTGTATTATAAACTAAAGCTATGTGCACTAATTAATTTCAAAATTTAAAACCAAAACAAGAGTTTGTAGCATTTGAATTTAAATACCTTAATAACATCCCATCCAATATAGTGACATCTGATGGCACTAAATGCAAATAAGTTTCTAAACATAACGTAATCACCTAAATACCGCAGAAATTCAAAAATTCATCTGTGGCTTGGATTTACTCCAAATGGAACAAGGCTTACGGATAATACTGGTGGAAACGAGGTTTAAGGTTGATTTGGGTCTGAATTCTAGACATCAGAAACTTCAATTATCCGAACCGTTTGTTTTTAATTTTAGACTAAATAAAATTTAATCTGTTCTTAGTTTATTCAACATTTATTTAACCTTTATTTAAACCTAAACATAATTTAAACATAGCGTTTATTTAAACATAAATTAAACAAAACATGCAATTAGCATTTTTCTTTTAATGTACTTCAAAAGTTTGTTAAAAACCATAAACTGAATTTTATTGTAAACCATAAACTGAAAACTTTAGTAATTCGTTATTTAATGTTAATTGAATTATTTCATCATTTTACCCTCAAAAGAACAAAACAGATTTGTCAATTTTAATTGAATAGAAATAAGTAAGCTTTTTACACGAATAACTAACTAACGTAAATAAATTTCATTATTTGCAAGTAATAAATAAGTAAACCTTTTACACGTATAAATAATAACTTACTTTTCAATTTTTAATATTGTGAAACTAAACAAAAATACACGTTTAGGTTCAGGACCAATTTTACCGTATTTTTCGCCGTATAAGACGCACTTTTTCTCCCCAAAATCCATGGAGGTAAGAAGTAAGAAGGAGTCGCCCTAAACAAGTTTCTCCGTACCCTGCTCTGAAGCACCGGCGATCCCTACGTGGTGACCAAAACATTGGGTCATTTACTATTGAGTTCTATGGGATTTGACGCGTTCGGGTGTAAATATTTTGTAATTACGTCGCAAATATACATATAAATGTATATATTTTCTTTTTCTACAACACTTCAGAGTCCTAAGTATGTGAAAACAACATATTTTTAAACAACATTTTTCATTTCTGAACGGAATTAAATGCTATACTTTTCACAGGACAGTTTTCTCAGAATGGTTTAATTTGAATGAAATATTTTCACAAGTTTTCGTTAATTACATTAGGAAAAAAAATTAAGGTAATTCGATTTTATATTCGGTTAAGGTACAAAAATTAAGATCAAAGTTTTTATTGCATTATTAATATTAAAATTCTATTCTCTATTTCTTTTTTCTATTATAGAGCTTCTTCCTAAAATACTTTCTTAAATATGACATGATTTTTTGGCTTCTGAGGCATCTTTTTTAAATCGAAAAATGAAGTCAATTTATATTAATGCTCTATTCGGTTCATTTTAAATTAGAGAATTATTAGGAATTAGCGAAATAACTTTAAATAAGTATTTCGCTAATCCCTAATAATTAAATAGGTATTAAATAGTATTTGACTTTCTCTGAACATTTCTGAAAGGGAATAAAATAATTTTTTTTAAGTATTATTTAAAATTTGTAACTGAGTTATTATAAAATGTAAGGGGAATAATTCTTTTAATTATACTTATCAGATTTTTTTTTTTACCATTCATTCACAAATTTGTGGTTTCCAAATGAAGGGAAAGCTAACTTGTCGTGTATATTTATTAATTTTGACGAGGATTGCAGCATTTGATGATAATTTTATTTTTAATTAACCCAAATAAGTAAAACGTGTAAGCCCAAAGTTGATTTTTTCAGATATATAAAATTAAAACGATGGGTTTAAAATGAGCAGCAGTAAAAGCTTCTTCTTCTAAAAAATTTTAAAAGGTACATGTTACAATAATATATGGATGTGAAAAAATTTGTTTTATTTAAAACATTTTGACGTTTGGAAAATAAAATAAAGTAGCGAATACTCTATCAAGGGTATCGAAAGACGTATACAATTTTAAATGTACCGTAAGGTATTTTTCATTCTGGAAGCATAACATTTTTCTTAAAATCTATATTTTTGTAGTGCAACAGCTTAGAATTTTATAAAACAAATTCATAATCAAAATCGCTGTTGTTAGTTATCGAAAAATAACCAAGATGTGATTTTTGCGTAAATGTCAGTAAAACTATACAAATTGCTATTATCCATCACACTATGAATGTTTCTTCATGCGAGAGTGTCCCTTTTCGATTTCTATGGAACTGTCGCGTGTCGAAATACTATCAGATCTTGTCAAGCGAGCTTCTGAATGTAAACAAAGAAACACCCCGTCTGGTGACCCAAGCTTCAAAGCAGTGCTTCACTTCTAGCGCGGAATGGCCCCTCCTCCCTTTCCTACCTCCATGCCAAAATCAGGGGGGAAAAAGTGCCTGCGTCTTATACGGCAAATACAAAAGCCCACCATGGCCCTCCGCTGCCCCTCCACCTCTGTATACATACCTTACCGCAGGAATACTCGGCCACTCCGTTCCTTTCCACCTCTTGGCGCCGTCTGAGACCAGGAAGCCCCGCTCTGCCTCGCACTGTATTTGGACGGTCTCTGCCTCGCGCTGCGATTGGCTGAGCGAAGAGGCGCGTGCCTTCACTCGCTCCCGCGCTGGCTTTGTGCACTTTTTAGAGTCTCGTAAGCCAGCGCGGGAGCGAGTGAAGGCACGCGTCTCTTCGCCCAGCCAATCGCAGTGCGGGAGCAAGCGGAGGCGCGGATAGCTGTGAGCTGTGATATATGTAGTATGGTATATCTGAATGAAATATATCATATTTCATACTCATCACCCCATCAAGATGTCGAAGCAGAAGAGACTGGCATATAAAGTTGCTTTCAAGCTGGAAGTAATAAAATTTGCTAAGGAGCATGGAAACAGAGCAGCGGAGAGACACTTTGGGCCACCTCCAACTGAGAAAATGATAAGAGAGTGGAGGAAACAGGAGGATCAGCTCCAAAAGTTGGATAAAAGCAAGCACACCTTGCGTGGACCAACTGCAAAGTGGCCAGAGTTAGAGGTAGAAGTAAAGGAGTGGATCACACGTCACCGGCAAAATGGACTTTCTGTCTCAACAAAAATGATAATCTATGAGGCCAAACGCATTGCTGTGGAGAAAGGCATTCAGGATTTCACCGGATCACCATCGTGGTGCTATAGATTTATGAAGAGATCTGGCCTTTCTATGCGCACCAAAACCAGAATTGCACAAAAAATGCCAAAGGAATACTATCACACAAGTGTGTGAATGGGTTAAAAGGTCATGGGACTCCGTAAAGAAAGACATTGTTGTAAAATCATTCAAGAAGTGTGGCATTAGTAATGCCTTGGATGGAACAGAAGACGACGTCTTATTTGACACCAGTGAGGAAGAAAGTGATGGCAATGACTGCTTGGATCTGTCCTTCCTCATTTCTGATAGCAGCGGAATTCTTGGGTTAGAATAAAAACATGACAGCCTTATTTTTGTTACTTTCACTGTTTGCTGACTGTTTATGAGAGTAAAGATAGCTCTTAGTATGTTACATGGTTGACATAAAATCTTTCTTAAACTGCTGTTAACTTTATACAGTTGATATAAAATATTTTACTACAGAATTTGGTTCATAATCTTTTTTCTAGATTTGCCTCCTTTAAAATTGGGTGCGTCTTATATGTCGGTGCGTCTTATACGGCGAAAAATACGGTAATTACATTTCTACTAACATTAGCTATCTAAATACAAAACTCGTAACAATATTTTCCCCATAATTAATAATAGAATGCAATCTATGCGATCCAGATAGTTTTTTTCCATCCTTTAGATAGTTTGTTTCAACTAATTCTAAATATCCAGAATGGAAACCCGTCTTTACTGATGAGTTAAAAACGTATTATGCACTTGTAAAAAAAGTTTGCGATTTTACTGACAGAGTGAAATATGGACTGTGTTCCTAAAAATTTTAAAGAAAATTTACGCTAGTGATGAATAAGTTTTTAGTAGTAAGATATGTTCAGATGCGGTAATGAAAATTTCTATTAACTCTTTGTTGCTTTTGTTAGCAACTTCTTTATTTAGATTTTTCAATCACAGGTTTATCTTAATAGATTTTCTTCTCTGTTTTTCCTGGTTTGTGTAAAAAAATGTCTCGTTGCAGAAAATATTACGGCAAGTCTACTATTTATAACCAGAACCCATTTATTGAACAAATTATTTATTCGACAGTTTTAGAATTATTTCTATAATTAAATAATTCTCAGAATTAATAGGTAGAAAATAATTTATTAGGTATTAAAATTTAATTTAATTTTTGGTATTTAACACATATTGGAGGGCGTTTCACTTACCTCCAATGATAAGCCTGGCACTGGACTGCGTGGAAAACTCATCTCGATTCACGAAGCATTGATAAATTCCAGAATCCTGCCTCCTGACTTGTCGAACTTGAAGGGAAGTCGGAGTCGGGAACACTGCCCTTTGATTGGCAGAGAGGGATTTCATATCTTTTTTCCATGTCACTGAACCAACTGGGCTGCCATGTATGGAACAGTTGAAATTGGCCGTCTTCCCAACATCTAGTTGAAGCTCAGATGGATAGACACTGACACGAATTGGCTCTGAGCGAGAGAAAAAGAAAGAGAGGACAAGTTATATGAAAGATATTTATAGCTGGGAATTTCTGCGATATATTATTTTTTGTTTTGAATGACAGATCGCTTTTTGGATGCGAAGATGTTGCACTTCGGAGGACTATGTGATGCACTTTATCCGCCTCACTATTCCCTATTTTGAAAGTAGTATTTCATGTGTCTGGGCAGAGTCAACTGGTGAATCTCTAGAAGATATAAAGGGACATTTTATTTTTTACAAAGAAACGGCTTCGCTGTTATTGATATAGCAAGCTGCAAGAAAGCCAGTTCTAAATTTTTTCATTTGAACGTTTTAAATGTTCTCACTATAGCATTCAAGGTTTGCCACTGTATGTTTTTTAATATATTTTGTTAAGCATTTCAATAAGTAATACGATTTTAATAAAAAATACACAGAGATATGAGTCCTTGAAATTTTCAAAGGTAAACTTGGTGTAAACGTTAACATATGTCTTGATTTCATAAAATAAATATTATTTCTCAAATGATTGTTTAATTCCTGTACAGTAAGCATTATTAGGCCAAAGGGCAGTCTCAAAACGACATTTTGTGTAGATTCTCTCAAAGCATTGAATCACTTTTGAAATTATTGCCGCCAAATATCATCGCCCTTTATTATGGTTAAAGAAATTATACAGTGAAGAATCTGCATGAGTGCATGTATGTTTCTCGCACTGTGAAAACACGACGGTACCCACAGCCATCAAATTCTGAATAACATAGTCCTCTACCCAAATATGGCACCTTGAAACCTGAATTTTGAATTTCTAATTATTTCCATTATCTGTTTCGTATTCTGTAACACTTTAACGAATTTTTGATTAAAATCCTCAATGATTTCAAAGTGAGCAGTGGCAACACTGTGCGGAATAATACATTGTTATCCACAGCGCGCGAGAGACTATCTCCTGGAAATTCTAAAGGTGTGCTGTCTTTAAATGGCTGAAAAGCCCAAAGAAGTGATAGGCCAAATGTTCTCAAAACGCATATGTATGTGTAAGTGAAAAGAACGCCCCCTCGGTTTTAATATAAAATCTTAAAGCTTCGACTTTTTTTTTACTTGTTCAATGTATTCATTCTTTATGAGTCTAACCTCGGTTACAGTTCCCATAATTTCTGCGATATTAAAGGTAAAATATATAGAGCATCACGTGGAAATAAAGTATATTTACTCTCTTTAAATATATGAATATTGATTGATTAAATTTAAGTTTACAGTTTCTATTTTGTTTTGAATATTTAAGTTTTGTCAAAGGATTTTTAAATTCTTACCATGTAAATCTTATTTTTACTCTTCAATCTATTCATTCTCTATGAATCTAAAACTTATTTACATTTCATAGAATTTTTGCTATTATAAAGATAAAATATGCAGAGTATCACGTGGAAATAATATATTAAATGTCTTCAGATGTCAGAATATTGCTTGATTAAAATTAAGTACTTAGTTTTCAATTTTGATTTTGCCATGAATACGTAAGATGATAAAAATTTATGAAAAAACATAGAGACTAATATGCAGTTATTAAATCATGCTTTAACTAAGCGAGCTGGCAGCTTCAACTTATGAATTTCAGGTTGAAGAAGAAGGGGATCTTAACATTTTGTTGATTTTAAGTTCCAGGGCTCTTTTTTGAATATATTTATTTTGAATGCGGAACGCTTCAAATATTTCTATTAGTTTAATTCACACCTGTCAGTAGTATGAAGTATAGTATTTATTTACGCGTTTTAAACAGGCCTTTTTGTAATTTTTTTATTTTAATTTAATTAATTTTATTTACCAATTTTAAATTCGACAAGAAAACTAAAACTATGCCGTTTCTGACAGGAAACATTAAAGAAAATCTTAGGTGGAAAACTGGTAGATCTTCAAGACCGTCCCTAATAATAATATCTTATTTCAAAAAAGTGAATTACAGATTTACTTATAAATGTATCCTTTCAAACCCAAATGAGGCTGTAAGTTTCGTAATTGCTTCGCTATAAACGTCTAATTACATTTCAAGTTATTGCCGCGAAATATTATCGCCTTGTATTTAAATAAATTAAATAATGAAGAATCTGCATGCACTATTTATGTATGTATGTTCTTCGTACTGTTATGAAATGAAAGTACCTAGAGTTATCATATTTTGAATAACATAGTCCTCCACCTAAACATGTGATCTGGAAGATAGAATTTTGAATTTCGAGTTATTATTATTACTATTATTTAATTCCCATTTTGTGAAACTTTACTAAATTTTTGATTAACAAATTAAACGATTTCTAGGCGGGAAGCGGCAATACTGTTTAAACTAAAACATTTCTCGCCGAGCGATAAATTCGCTGAACAGTGGTAGTTCGATCGGAGGTTCGAATCTCGGTACACGGACTTACTGAATGGATGTTTTCAATGTTTTACCTACAGGTTTACCTCGTTTAACGTGTATAAGAGCCAGTTTCCCTTAAAAAGATCTTCACGAAGGCAACCCTTTCTGTAGGCATATGGACAACACGTGCTTTGCCATATTTGAATAAACCGAAACGAACAAAACCATCCATTCTTTGCATGTAATACGTAAAAAAGAGGTTTCTGAATTGTAAACTGCCATCACTAGAGAAGAAATGACATAAGACATACGCACACGGGTATGAATCAGCCTTTGAAATGCAACAGTTCTCAAAGGCTAATATTTGTTTAATTGTTTCAATCTTTTCGGCTGCATTTTACTACTATTATATAATTTCAGGACACGGCAGAACTAGATAATATGCAGATTTAGTACTAATTTAGATTTGATAACTAGATAATTTGCTTTTATTTTTTTATTTAAATTATAAAATAATAAGCTGAAAAAAATCAGAAATTTGATTTTTAATCTAATTTTCGTAAGATAATTTCAATGATATTCTGTTAGTGTCAAAATTTTATATGAGAATCTATATTGTAGCTCTTATGGTATATTATAGTGTATATTATAGTCTAGCTGCTATTTTGGTAAATAATGTAGCTTGCATTCATTTCTTTAGAACAGAGTCTAATAATTTCCAATAGCAATAATACAGCATTATGAAAATTTTCGAATGTGTGGATAATTTAAAATAACTTTTATCCAAGAATTCCCACACCGAAATTTTATGAAGACTTTGAAAGGTTCTACAGACAAATGTGTCGTTGGATCAACAGCCCCCCGAGAGGTAAAAATCGCTGAGCAGTAGTAGTGCGGTCTGAGGCTCGAATCCCTACGAACGGGCTTGAATCCATGGTCATTTTCGAAATTTTCCTCTTGTTGTACCATAGATATGAGCGAATTTCCGTTAAAACGTCCTCCACGGAACGACCTTCACTTTCCGTGTAGTGCCTAATGGAAGCGCACGTAATAAAGAAGAACAAAATGCATCACTGTACAGAATAAACTTTTTTCTGTACTCTTATTTAATCGACCACTTTTTCAAGAACACATCTATTATTATTTGAATGAAATTATGAACAAACACTGTTACATAAAAAATTCCTTATAAATCATAGACAAATAACCTAAGTTATTATGCCATTTAAAACTAATTAGTTAGATTCCTTTTTTGTTTTTAATTGTTATTAATTAATTAAATTAATTTTTAATTTGATTTTTTTATTTCTTCTTATTTATTTTTTATTTATTTTTTTTTCGTTTGCAATGCTGCTTCAATTTAGAAGCAATCATTGAAGTTTTTACTATATTTGATACGACCTTAATAACACATAATAACACTAATAAAATTTAATAAAATAACTGAACTAGGAGTTAAAAATGGTTTTTTCTTATAAATAAAAGAAATCAATTATGCAAAAACACAAGCGATGATATAGCAGCCAAAAATTACATTCAACCTTGCTCAGCAATTAATCTTAATATTTTGAAAGACAAATATTTTAATTAAGACGAAATGAGAATAATGAAAACTTGAGTTAAGCTTAAACAACGTAATTAATAATCATTTCATAGAAATGTACCATTTTTGAAAGAAAGAACGAACAAAATATCCAGCATAACCAATAACAATGTGAGACGAATAACGCATCTGTATTAATTGCAAAAACGCAAGATATCAAAATGGGAATTAAGCAATTATTCTACGTTTGAAAACCATAAACTTTTAACACAACGATGAATATTTCTTTTTATTTCCAAGAAGAAAAACAACAACATGTTATTTGAACTTTCACTGAAATTCTAATATGGCAAGTGTGAATACGATTAATCTTTTCTAAATATTTCTCCTTATTGTCGCTGTATTTTAATTGAAAATATCTCATAACTAGAAATGATTAATAGGGGTATATTTATCTGCATATTATTAGATTGTTATCTTTTACAGAAAAGGATGTAGTTAATATCCAATTTGTTCGTCATTTACGGTACACTAAGTTTTCTCAGTTGCAGTTTAAAAAAAATCACAGTTTAAAAAAAATCTGATGTGTACACCACATGACTTCTTTGTACGGAATATTAAATTTTCTTGCATTTCATTTAAACTTATTGGATTGAATTAAATCTACTTCGTCGATAGCGCATAAACCACAATAGAATAAATGCACGCTTTAAAATTCAATATATTTGTTTACCATAGCGACACTCTGGCGATAGGTTCACTTAACAGCGTTAATTATCTAAATGTTGCCACATATCCTATTGAAATACTATAATAAATCTAAGTGGATGAATAAAAGGAAATAAACAAACAAACAAAAAAAAAAAAAAAAAAAAAAAAAAAAAAAAAAAAAAAAAAAAAAAAAGAAAGAAAGAAAGAAACAGTTTTTCAGGCAAGATTCAGTATTTCTCATTCAAGTTATTCAGTTCTCAATTCGCGACTGGGCAAATATACATAAAAACTTAAAATATCTATACTAAAAATTACAAAATAAATCCTAAACACTTTATTTCCTCGAATAAATTCCAGAATGCATTAAGCACGATTTAACTCGCAATAATAAAAGAAGG